ATGGAGAGGCTGCCTCTGTGTTCCCTGCTGTCGTCGCCGAGGGCCGTCAAGAAATGAAGGCAGTCACCGGTGGCTACAGTGCACACAACACCTACAGAATGGATGAGACGTCGTTCTTTTACTGTTTATCCCCACATCGTTCAATCACACGCAACCGACAACCAGGGAGGAAAAAGTCAAAAAACGAATCACGATTGCACTTACCACCAATGCTGCCGGTTCGGACGTCGTCGAACCGCCTTTCATTGGCACTGCTGCCCGACCGCGGTGCTTCAACGGTGTTGCTGCCGCTGACCTTGGCTTCAATTACCTATCGAGCAAAAAGGATGGATGACTGGTGGGATTTTCAACACGTTCCTGCTGCAGATGAACCGGCGGATACTTTCCGAGAACCGAAAGGTTCTCCTTCTGGTCGATAACGCGCCACCACATCGACCCGACGATGAGTCCCTATTGACAAATGTAAAGGTGAAAATGCTACCGAAGAATCCAACAGCTCACCTGCACCCAAGGACGCTGGCATCATTGCCTCGTTCAAGGCGAGAGTGAAACAGCTCCAAGTGTAGAACGCCCTGCAACAGATTGATTCTTTGATGACTGGTAAACAAGATGGTCTCTACGAGGTACCTTTGGTGGAGGCAATGTCTTGGGCAAAGGAGGCCTCGCGGTCGGTGACACAAGCGGCAGTTGTTAACTGCTGGAATCGGACAGGCATTCTTGACACTGAACTGTCGAAATTTAGCGACCATGCGGCGGCCATCCAGTTGTAATTATTTGCACCTGTTTATTTGGTGTCCTTTTAAAGTTATTACTCAGTCGCCGTTTAAAAGTCGGGTGGAAATCAGTATTAGAAGATGATAAAAGAGCCATACGGATTGGCTGCTTCAAACTTCCCGCTTGACAAAAAGGACTTGGGTTACACGAGGTACACGAACGCCGAACTCAAGAGGTTCATCGAAGGTTTCGACCCAGCTCTTATAACCTCAAAAGGATATGCTAAGGCCAACAACATCGACTGGAAAACTTGGCGTAATTGGCTTGCACGCCGTGACTTGATATTGACGAAACCATGCAACGGCAAGAAGCACACTCTCGGCGGGCAAGGACGCAAGGAGTCCTTACCATTTGCTTCCGAGCTCCTTGCTTTCATGAATGGTGTAAGAGACGGGGAGCACTTTCTAAACCATGGTCACCTCATCACGTACATCAAGACCCATCACAAGGAGTGGCTCGACCAATACCTTGCTACCAAGAAAAATGATGACAGCGCATATCATAGCCTCTTAAAGTTGTTCCAGCGCTTCTCCACTCGCCACCGCTACTCGCAGCAAGTGCCAGGTCCAACCAAGGTATCCCAGTCTGTTTTGCAAGAAACAAAGACAGCGTTCGCTGCCGCCTTCTGGTCCAAGTTTCGTGACACTGCACCATGTGACATCATCAACATTGACGAAACAGCTGTCTACTACGATATGCCTCCTGCCAAGACTCTAGCCAAGGTCGGTGGTTCATCCAAGGTTGACAAGAGTGAGAAGCACTCAGACCGGTTGACTGCAGTCATGTCAGTGCGATCGAATGGTGACAAGCTCCCTATTCTCTTCATTCTGAAGGGCCAACCTGGTGGATCAATTGACAAAAGAGAGCTGCCAACTTTCCCGCCTGGTCACATGTACGTCGTACAAGAAAATGCTTGGATGGACACCCGCGTGTGGGAATTCTACCTCACAGAGCTGTTGAAGTATGAGATCGATGGACCATCCGTTATCATCGCAGACAATCTGGACTGCCATGTGTCGGACGAATCATATGAGATCATATCGTCGCAGCTGTTTAGCGTTCTTCAGCCTCTACCCAAGAACTCAACTAGCGTCTGCCAACCTTTGGATGTCGGCGTTATGGGCCCATTGAAGAGCAAATTGCGGTACAAGTGGCTACGCGAAAAGCCTGTAGTGTCCGCGGCGGAGAAGAGACTGGCCATGATTCAGCGAATGATTGCCGCATGGGAGGAAACTTCTTGTGAAGCTGTCAGTCGCTCGTTTACGAAGGCTCTGCCTCAGTGAGCTGGATCTACTTACTACTAGTATTAACTAGTTGTAAATACTGATAGTACTCTTAACAACTTTTGGTCGCAACAGGTCAGTCGTGGGAGAAAATTGGGGAAATTTTTATCAATGACGGCGGTGTTACGCGCAACTCAGAAAGGTCAACAGATTTTCCAAAAACCAACAGTCCATATTTTTCTCATACAAATTTCAATATATTTCTCAAGTACCACGGGAGAAGGATTTCCGTCGTTCCCTGTAGTAGTACTCACTCATTCATGTTCTTGGGATAAACATATGGACGACTTTTCCGCGCTTGATTTCCTCAAAGAACGTAAGACTTCCCTGCACAAGAAGCAATCACCCCTGGTAGGATTATGGAATGTGGTTAGCCAGCAGCGAAAACGTTGTGGGAAACGAATGTTCGAAAATTAGTATGCAATATATACTACGTACTCTGGTCCATGAAGATTGTGCCATTGTTTTTCACTTGGTTTCATTATACCGTCTCGGATCGAAGTGTATTGGGTTTTGTATGTGCCCCCAACAACGCATATTGGACGAGGTGAATTTAATGTGTTTTTATTGAACGAATTAAATTACTTCATCAGGGCAATTGACCATAGCGTCCAAGTGAGATTCGTGGTCAAGGCGGCATTCCATTCGAAACAATGCCTCTTCAATGCTGGAAGGGTCACATTCAACATTGAACAAAGAAAAGTTCTTTATGATAGAATCTTTCTTCATATGCGGAAGCTTGTAGTCATTGCAATGCCCGAGTACCTCAATAGACTTTTCAAAAACTTTCTGAATTGTGATGAAAGTCTTAGAAAGCGTATCAACAGACAACTCATCAAACGCGCTTTCTACAGCACCAATTAGCTCCTCGTTTGAACGAGTAGACTTTTGATGCTGTAGACTTTGAATACAGTTGAAAAATCCTAAATCTAACACGTTGAAGTCTGGGCTATATGGTTGGGGGTTAATTTACAATCTTGATGCCTGCGACGCCTCGAGCTTCCAGCTCCGATGTCGTGACTGTTCGGTGGGGGCTGGCATTGTCTTGTTGCACGAACACCCCTTGCCTCTTGGTACGTAACTGCATTCTCTTGAGTAGCAGGAACGACTTTCTTGAGCATTCTTTCGAAAGTAGTCGTCGCCAGTCACGGCAATGGGGGCCATGAGCATGGTGTCCTTGGGCCGGTATTTGCTTGTTCGGGCTGCTGGCGACACCGACACGAAGGGTCACACGCCGATCTTGCCGTCAAACATTTGGCGCTTGGAGTAGTCGTACCGCGGGCGGGCAACAGCAGCAAGGAGCATAACCTTCGTGATGAACGACTTGGACTTGACAGAACGCAGCGCCATTTCTTCGTCTTCGTACAAGTAGAAACGCTTCTTGACCTTTGTCAAGTAGAACCACTTGACGACGGCTCGAGGTGCGACATGGCGAACCTGAACCTTGCTTGGACGTTTGCCTCAGTGAGGTGCGGCTTCACGTAACTTGACCGCGCCTTGAGCCTCGCAACCGCCTTCATGTGACGAATGATACTTGTCTTGGGTATCTTGCAGTGCCGCGCCAACGAGCGCATTGTCTTGATTAGGCAATTCCGGACGTAAAGTCGTCCGCACGAACAATGAAGTTGAAGCCGCCATCCGAGCGCTCATAGGCTCCGCGCCTCTGTTCGGCCGTGAGGTTCTTTGTGCGTCTGACAGGAAATAGGCTCATGGCAACGCTGGCGTTGTGGCAGTGTGTAGAGGGCTCGTGGGATGCGTGTGTGTGTCTTAAGTGAGTGTAAATTCTGAAATGAATGAATGACAGGTCAAAATGATGAGCTGCTTTGGCTCCCGCCACTTTGGTGGTCTATATCTTGGGAATTAAAACGAATAGGTGTATTCTGAAAACAGCCAATCAAAGTGCTTTTCTTGTACATTCGATTGAACCAATCAGATCGAATACACAGGCAAAATTACTAAAATCCCGCTAATCGAAAAGTCAATGTGACAAACATTACGCACCAGAGTAGTATACATGCAACGACGGATTTTAAGGGACACCGAATTTGATAAGAAGCAAGTGTTGTGTTTTTACCCAATGATATCCCATAATATCAATACACAAGTTTTGATTGGATGTAATTTGGAGGGAAAACATTTTGAATTGGCGCAATGATAATGACTGCACGAATTCGAGTCATTTTTCGATGGCCTCAGTACAACAAGACAAGATAAGTCTACACAAGAAGCCTCGCCGGTGATACACGCAGGTGACAAAGCGAGCAGTGGTTGCACGTCTCGAACAAGCATCAACACGAGAGCTTGAAGGAGCCACTGGCATCTCCAAGAGCAACCAGTCGCGATGGCTCCAGTAGAAGTCCACCCTGTTAACATTCAACGGTAACCTTAAGCGCTTTAACCTCGACGGTGCCGGTAGACCTGAAGAGATTCCCAACACCGAGGGCTTGGCAACCTACACGTCACACTTGCGTAATGTCCGATTGGAAATGAATCAAAATCGTTAGTCTCGATATGTCCACCAGGAACGCACGCATAATCGACAAAATTGATAGCTTCTCTCCATTCGCTCTGGCCGAAAGCACGGCGGTCATTCTGTACGTAGACGTGCTTCTCCACTTGAGATCTTGGACCTTCCACCACGTACAGCCCAATTGCGTTCGGTGGCATGTCGTAGTGCATGCCAGTCTCGTCTACGCTGATAACACAATCAGTCGAGAAGCCACTAAATGCGACATGGAAGTCAAGAGCGAACTCCGCCCGAATTTGGTCAAGGTCCTCCTGACGTTGTTTGGCTTTGGCAGGCTTCTGGCGAGTAGTAAAGCCGTGACGGGCGCAAAAACGCTGAAGCAAGCGTACAAGAGACTGGTAGCCACACCGACGCTGTTGAAGATAGTTGTCGAGCCAGTCACTGTGGTACCGCTTGAGGTAGTTCACGAGGTGTGCGCATGTCACTACCCTTTCGGCACTATGCGATCCAAGAGAAAGCTTGGATGGAAGCTCGGGTGTGGGCCTACTACCTCCGTTCTGTATTGAAGTCGCAAGTTCGTGCTCCGTCTGCTTTGCTCCTTGACACTTCGATCCACATGCCAGTGAAGACGACATCAAGGTGGCGACCGAGGAAACAGGATGTCTATTGGCGCCGATTCGCCCAAATGCGACAAGTGCTGTTCAGCCGCTCGACCTGTGGCTTGAAGAAGACCTTATTGATAGTGGTGACGACGACGTGGTCCGTGATGGTGACGTCGACTTGGCTACTGTGACTGCCAAAGAGAAGCGCATCGCCATGGTCCATTGCGCCATTAAGGCTTGGGCACGCATTACACATCAAGAAATCCAGTGTAGCTTTGCTAAGGCACTTCCTCAATTGACATGTGTGCGCTTGATTTGTTTACAATTTTGTAGCTTTTCGGAAGCGCGTCTTCAATGGATATATGTGCATTTGCCTTGTTAGCATTTTGTGATTTTTTGAAATTATAAATGCAGAAATGTGACACGCAGAAAATGTATTGTTATTGTCGGGATTCGAACCAGTGTCAGGACGCGATTTGCACATTCATCTAACCACTATGCCATTGAGGCACTTGATTGATCCCTTTTATACCTGGTGACGTTCTACCTCTGTCCCCCAAATAGTGCAGGCGAACATTCCAGAGTACACCAAATTCAAATATAAGGAATCTGTATTTAAAACGTTTTTACTGGAGTAGTACAAATTTATTCTAAGTCGACGACCAAAGTGTCCATCATCTGCGTCAGTTCTTCCAACCGATTTTCTTCTTCCAGCCGCAAGTTCATCATGTCGAGCGCCAAAATATCAGCTTGAAAATTCATACTGCGCGGGATCTTGTAACGGTTGTCACCAGCTGCGTCCACAATTGCATAAAAACACACTGTGGCGTGCCAAACCACTTCTCATCTATGTGAACCATCGAATACATTTCATTGATGTTACCCTCGTTGTCGTACTGTGATTCACAGAAGCCCAAACGTGCTGCCTTGTGCTGAGGGGTTATCCGCCATCCAGTGGACTGGTGGACATTACAGATTGCGCACACATCGTTCATTATTGCGCGGGATACCTTGCCGTCAGTGCTCCTCTTTAGCAGCTCAAGGTACAAGCATCTCCGTAGGTCGTCAGTTAAATTTGACTTGCGTTTTGTATTGGCATCTTCCATCAGCCCTTGCGGGTCGAAAAGTGAAATAAATTGACGTCAAAAATCACCGCTATTCGTGAACCATTGGTCTTCCAGCCCACAAATTCGCAAGCCAATCAGAGATGAGATGACCGACATATGAATTGCCTGCAATATTTGGGGGACAGTGGTAGTACGTATATATATATATACAATATAAAATACATGACTGTTTCGAAATTTCAAGAGAGCACGCCCCCATAAAATGATTGGTTATAATGCTATCGAATTAAGTATTTCGTTTAGCCAATCATACACCCGTACAATGACTAATTCGAAGCAGTTAGTGTCCCTTAAAATCTGTCGTTGCCTGTATATGAAAATGTATACAATTTCGATTCACAATATAATACCTCGCATACAATGATTGAATGAATCCACAGAACTAATACATCATTTGCTCGTTCAAATTTGCCGCTAATACTAACGTCATTGCGCACGAGCATGGGGCAGTACACTCAATCACAGTCAATCACGGATCGCCGCAAGTACTCGATCATACGCCAGGGCCATGGAATGGAGCACATGAAGGGGGTGGCTGAAGAACAGGGAGAAGATCATGACCACTTGCCGCAATGCTAAGTGTGCATCGCTGGGTAGCCAAGGAAGACCAGAATGCATCCCGTTTGCTTCGGCGATGCATGACTTCAAGAATGATGTCTGTGACAACGAGCACTACCTCACCCATACTCATCTCATAACGTTCATGAAACTGCAGCGCCATAATTGGCTCGAGGAGTACATTACTAACAAGAAGAACGACGACACGGCGTACAACAGCTTGCTCCGACACTGCCAACGGTTTACTAAGCGCTATCACATCTCGCAACGAGTGCCATGTGCGACCAAGCTACCACAAGCTGTGCTTGCTGAGCCGAAAGCTACAATTGCAAAGGAGTTTTGGGAAAAGTTCAAAGATACCACGCCTTCAGACATCATCAACGTCGACGAAACTTCTGTCTACTATGACATGCCACCTAAAAAGACTTTGGCGAAAATCGGTGGGTCATCCAAAGTGGATACCGAGCAAAACACTCCGACCACGTAACGGCTGTGTTGTCAATACGATCCAATGGGGACAAGTCGCCAATAATGTTCATTGTCAAGGGAGCTCCTGGTGGACCAATCGAGTGCGACGAGGTACCAACATGTCCAGCTGGTCAAATGTACGTTGTACAGGAGAAGGCATGGATGGACACGCGTGTGTGGGAGATGTACTTGACTGATCTGCTCAAGTACGAGATCGAAGGCCCCTCTGTTATTGTGGCCGACAATTTGGATTGTCATTATGACGATGATAGCCATCAAATCCTCCCTACTCGGGCACGAATGGTCAACACCAAATGACTAGGTTCCGAAACTTAGAACTTTTAGACGCTTGACGAGGGACGCCTACATGTTAGATAGCTACATCCTAATCACTCTTTAACCGGCACGTTAGAAGTCACCTACTTCCTTCCAACTTGCGCTACTCTTGGTGAAGCCGAGAATGTGCGACCCTGAAGTTCAGCCCCCTGAACTTCCTTTGGTTTGTGCGCTTACGCCTTCCCCCGTGACCGTCACAAATTTGGTGGAGAAACAGCGTACTCTCCTGCCGAATCAAGACTGTCGTTAGCTTGGACACCAGAAGGTCAAACAATCCCTCTCCCGACCAGCCTCACCTCGAAGCCGACACCTGTGAGATACCTACTGGACGAACGGAGCTGACGTCGAAGGACATCAGAGCCGCTGACGCGGACTCGCCGCGCGCACTGCAGCGCAAAAGAGGCTTGGATTACCGAATCCAACATCACGCGAACTCACCCGAGCAACATGAATCAGAAAAGCGCAGCCGCGCTGAGCAAGAGGGCCCCGATGCCTTCCTAATTGAGGAAACGATCGAAGACCTGTTCTATTCGGACTCCTCCTCGGGTCACGGAATGGATGACTCGATCGACGACAGCGAGGAGTCCCTTGAACCTGGAAGCCCTTCGGCACCCCTGCACCCAGACGACGGGGCAAGCACACCCGCACTCTCGGCGCAAGACCAAATCTTCGATGAGTCTCTCAATTTCAACTTGGACAAAGAATCGGTCCCGTACAGGAAACGACGGAAGTATGTCCCCAGTGGTACTTCGGCCAAGGCCCTTTGTCAAACTGGTCATGCAATGCAGGTGGCTTTGCTGTGAAGCAAGACCACGAGAAGAATGGCTTCGAGCTTGTAGTCAGTGAGGTTCCTTCTCTTGATGATAACTTCAAGAATGTTGGTCATTGTTCATGTTTTAATATGGATATTAGTGTGCTAGCATGTGAACGCGTCATCGCTTGAGATTTCCCGCTCTTCGTTGTATCTACCGAGAGCTCAGGTTGCGGTTGATCTAATCATATAATCACAGTAGTGCAATTCGAGTCAAGGCAGGGACACCGTGTTTGCAATCTACTTCTGTATATAAATATAACTCATGTATATGCGGCGTTGGATTCCTGTTCTGATTGGTAGTTCGAACCTTGGCTGCCCCGGTTGCGCTCTCGGTTATTGTTGGCGGCGATGTTGCTTTCGTCGCGGGCCTTCTGGCGACATCGAGTCGAGGCAGGTGACACCGTGTTTGCAATCTACTTCTGAATATATAAGCAAGTCGTGTACACCCTCCTACAACTCGCGCACTCATTTTGGAACCCAGGAAGTACAGTAAAATATCTTCTAGGAGATTGAGTGCTGCGAGAATATAAAATAACGATATATCAGTGAAGTACCACTGGGGATATCTTTCCGTCGTTGCCTGTAGTGATAGGACTATATCCTTCGTGGTAAGCAGCTAAGAGAGAACGACGGAGAAATTCATCCAGTGGTACTACCTTGTTATCTTGAAATTTGAATTGGAAATATATCAATTGGTGATGGTTTTTGATCGAGAATGAATTGTTTGTCAAACTTGCTTGATTGGACAAAATGAACACATTTTCGACAACGACGACAAAAAACTATTACACGACCAAATTCAATTACTTTGAAAGGTAATTGCTGTAATTTACTGTGCAAGTTAAAGGGCATTGGGGGCACCAGGTATTGCCTTCTCAAATGAACGACGGATCAGTGAAGTTGGAATCTCGTCACACGCTGAAATCGTGCCCTTGATCATGCATGACCAGGATCCCGTGTGGGCGGTCGAAAGTAACTACACTCGAGAGAGCACACTCTTCGACGCCTGGCGCCTCCAACAGACCGACACCACCGCGATTCAAAGCACTCGCATGCGGTACGAAATGAGTCAGCGTGGAGGGGCTTGTCTAACACAGGCCGTTGCCTTCGTGGAACATGAGATTCTGCCCGGGAACGCGAAACCGAGATCTGTCAACGACTGGTTCCCCCACAGCCGGGCGTTCAAGAACGACGTGAAGCTCGCGTACACGGTCAACAGAGACGAGGGAAGCGCGTACAGCACATCTGTGGACCGAACAGGCTCACGTCGGTGTAAAACACGCTGTGTTGTTTCCAATACTGGTTGTTTTTGTCTTGGAACCGGTATAACATGGAAAATTCCCAACCCCCCACTCCCATCTACATGTAGTTGCCATCGCCGCGAACGAGGCTGCGGTTGATAGCAAGCAAGTTGTTCAAGTCGTTGCGGACATCGCCATCAAGACAGACGCAACAATCGCACAGATTCCAACGCCCTCAAGAACAACGCCATCACCAGTATCAAGATCACCGCACAATGGGATATTACCACAACCCACGACATCAAGAAGACGGCGACATGGAAGTCAACAATGTTCAAGTATCCCATCCTCCGCAAATACCACAAGAGAAGTGTTACAATTGTGATGACAAGGCCACCGCGCAGCTCAATGCCGCAGTGCTCCACAAAATACGCATACGCAACGCCAGCCAAACATAAGGAATCGCCAGAACAGATATCAACGAGATAACCGTCCGACAAGCCGCCAAAACAATGCTCAAATGCATATTGAAGAAGACAATGAAGACGATGAAGATGAAGAAATTGAAGTTATCCAAGCCCATATCGTGGAAGAGGCGAAACAGGACCAAGTAAACGAGAACACTCTGATGACATACCGGCCCGTGTCCTCATCGACTGTGGTGACTCAAACCTCCTGTTTCGCCCGGACTTTGCAACACGGTTGTCAAGCAACGAAACGCCCTCATTGAAGTATTTGATGGACATTCATCTGGCCTCAAACAAGTCAACGAATTCACAGTAACTTTAGTATTGGAAGAATGGAGGTTTCCAGATCGTTCGTTTACTGAATGGGATCTCGGAAAAATGGCTTTGATATCACTCTGGGAAAACCTTGGGGTCATCGTTACAATCCCAACACTGACTGGAGAAATCAAAAGTTACTCTCGATAAACAATGTGGAAAGTAAACTTGCCCCAGTGTGGACGAGGCATGGATGGTCAAAATTACCACCGCCGCAAGTGAAGAGAAGACGATTTCACCGCTAATTTAGCAAGGTTTGGATAGTTTAGCAAGTTTTGGATAAGTACGCTATGGTGTTTCCCAACGCCTTATCTGACTCGTTGCCACCCAAGCGAGGAATTGAGTTTGACCTTACCATGCGTTCGGGCGAAAAGCCACAGTATCGCCCCCGTTTCGTTTGTCGTAAGTCGAGGATGCTTCCTAGGGCAATTTTATCAATGATCTCGAGCGAAAGGGTTGGATTTAGCTTTCCAACAGTGACTGGGTATCCAAAAACTTTGGTGTTCCCAAATGGGATGAAAATGTTCAGATGAAATCCCGCAGTAAATGGTTACGTACAGCCACTCCCGACACTCCGATTCGCTGGGTCCTAGACTACCTACCGCTATGTAAACTCGCAAACTGTGGTCACAAAAATCCCACTTCCCAATATTGAATCGCATGCATGAAGCAAGATCTTCATCAATATCGATCTGGCATCAGGCTATCGCCAGATGCTGGTGAAATCGAAAGCAAGAAAGAACACAGCATTTCGCACTCATCGTGAAGTGTATGAATGGGCCGTTGCGCCAATGGGAATGGCAGGCATGCCAAGATATTGGCTCAGGCTGATGCTTCGTCTATTCGAGTTTGACTTTGCAGTTGTCTATATGGATGACATTTGCGTATTCTTTCGCACCATGGAAGAGCATGTGGCCCACCTCACGGCAATATGTGGCGTTCTCAAGGTGGAACAGCTGTATGTCCGTTACTCGAACTGTGCCTTCGGCATGGAAACATTTAACTTCCTTGGATACGATCTCCAAGGATGGATTTCAAGTCGGCAAGACTAAAGTGCGTGAAATCGAGGAATGGAAAGAACCTAAAAACAACAAAGACCTCAGTAGTTTCATTGTTTTCGCGAGCTTTACAGCAATTTTATTCCCAACTTCTCCGATATGGTACGTCCTGTGAGTGACCTTTCGCGCACGCGCACTCTATGCACTTGGACTGAAGACCATTGACGAGCTTATTTGACCATCAAGTTAGCTTAGCAACAAATGACCGAATATCAGTTTCCCAACTACACTAAGGCATTCATCGTTTCCACAGAATTTTCTGGTTACCGCTGTGGCGCAGTCTTATGCCAACTTGATTACGCCAATGACGAACGTCCCATCACATTCATGTCAAAGCGTCTTGGCCCACATGAAGAAAAATGGCTAGCTCATGAAAAAGAATTGTACGCGAACAGGCTAGCTTTAGGAAAATGGCGACACTGCTACATGGATCTCAGTTCGACGTGTACACCGACAATTCCGCCTACAAAAGATTCATGCACACTCCCGTGATCACGCCCAAATTAGCCCGTTGGTTGGACTTTTTCAGCGCCTTCGATTTTGCCTTACACCATCGTCCCGGAAAGACTAATGTGGTCGCTAATGCACTATCTCGCGCTTCTCGCGACGACAGCACGATGCCACCGACGATTTCCGTGCATACTTCTGGTGTCCGTTGCCAGCTTCATGTCGCCTGTATGGAAAATTTTAACCGTTCCCACTCCTTTCAACCTTGCCGTCCCGTGAACTCTCGAAACCGGTTGAATCGCCCTTTTAGGGAAGGAATGTGATAGCGAAAAAAGGCATCATATTTCCCAACGAAATGTTATCAACCACACGCAACAAGTTTCGTACACCACTGTAGAAGTGGGTGAAGCAACAAAAGCCCGCTACTGTACGTCAAAGCATACAAGAACGATACGATATTCAAACAGCAGACAAGTAAAGACAAGGTCAGCATCAAAGAAGACTCTACTTTCTCCGTTCAAAGGATCAAGTCTGGAAACGTTGTGTCCCTAAAGATGACAACCTTCGAGCAGAGATCATCTACCAAGCACAAGATGCTAGTATCGTAACTATTCCCGGAACACGACGCACTGTACTAAGCGTCACCCAATGGTATAATTGGGATACAGCGATGAAAGACATAAAGTTATACGTGGCAGCCTGTGTAACATGCAGACGATACAAGACAAGTAGCTTGCGAGCGAATGGCATAATAATTCCGATTCAAGCTGCTAAAGAATGTTGGCAAACGATTTCAACCGATTAGATTACAGACCTACCTATGTCGAAATCATGCGATGCAATATTGGTGGTAGTAGACAAGTTATCGAAACGAGCAAAGTACTTTCCAACAAAGGCCGACGCTCCCGAAACAGCCAAGTTGTTCTTTGATCACGTTGTCAGGCAGCACGGATTGCCAAGTGGCATTACCAGTGATCGAGACCCCAAGTTTACAAGTACAATTTGGAAATCTTTAATGGAAATCATGAACATACGCCAAGTCAATGACCACAGCCGGTCGAGAACAAGCCGTTGGAGCAACCGAAAGACTAAACTGTACCTTAGAAGACACTCTCCGATGCCAAGTCTCGTATGTTGGAGATGATTGGGTTGATCATATACCAACCATCGAATATCCCCACCAAGGTCTCGTACAATCATCAACTGAACTAACGCCGTTCCAAGTCGACATCGGCAGAACTCTTCGACATCGTGTTACAGACAACATCTTGCCAAGGAACGACTTTGCTCAGAACTTTCAGAAAAACGTGAGGAAATCCTGAAAATGGTTCAAGACAACTTACTCAAGGCTCAAGCAAGACAAAAGGAATTTTGTGACCGTAAACGATGAAGTATAGCATTCAAATTGGACGACCAAGTATTACTTGCAACTAGAAATTTGCCGCTCAAGCATTCTCAACTAGTAAACGAAGCGGAACGACCTAAAATACAAGTAACGACGGAAAAATTCACCCAGCGGTACTCTTTCAAGTTTTTGGAATTATAATATGGGCACGACATTCTGAACACTCGAGCAAAATCCCACAATTCTAGCCAATGGGTGGCATTTTTGGCCACGACAAAAGACATGATACGATACACGTTCAAATTACAATACTTGAGTTATAGTCTTGGATTTTCTATTTGCGATGGCTCTTGACAGTAATCTCTTCCGGAAAATACGTCAAAATTCCTATGCACAAGAAGGTGGATTAATATCCACCCCCTATTCCCCGACGATGACTCATTGTAAGCAACGTTTTGAAGGGATCCATTGTGGCCATGCCGTTAATGTCACAAGGCATCACCACTGTGCTCTAGGTTTGATTCCCTGAATCCCAGTCTATTCCAGATGATAAGGCGGTTCTTTCTACGCTAGATTTTCTCAACTAACGTAAGACTCACCACAAAAGAATCAATTCCCTCTATTGGAACTACTGTTTGGAATGATGGTTAGGTAGCAGCGTGGAATGATGGTTAGGTAGCAGCGAAAACGTTGTGGTAAAGAATATTAGAAGTATTGGTTGGCAATATTGATGAATATATATAAATATAACTCACGATATATCTCACCGCAATCAAAGATTGAATGAATCGACAGCACTAATTCATGATTGGCTCGTTCAAATTGGCGCTATCGTCATCGTGCATTTGCAATGACGATTGGGGCAGCGCGAATGGAATCTATTGGAGCTGTGGTTGACGAACAAGGAGATCATCATGACCAAGCGCCTGGTCATTATCAAGCACGTGATGGCAGCGTGGGAAGGAAATCCAACTTCGTTGACCCATCGCTCGTTTGACAAGTCAATTCCTGGTGCCCTCTCACAGTAATTGCGTTTCACTGTAATTATATTTCGTCGTGAAATTTCTTGTCGTCGTTGTCGGAAATGGCATATTTTGTCCAATCAAAACAACAGTAGCAATCTCGTCATGCACTTCAATTACCACCAAAACCCATCATGAATCAATATATTTCCAATATAAATTTCAAGATAACAAGATAGTACCACTGGGTGAATTTTTCCGTCGTTACCTGTAGTGCCACGATTCATTGGCCCATTTTCGAATTGTCGAAGTCATCAACGATAACGAAATGCGACTCAAACTTCCCAAGCCCATGTCGCGCTTGCATGATGTATTCAACGTAGACCGACTCAAATATTATAAGCACAATGATCCCAAGTTTGCATCACGACCGATTCCCAAAGCAACACCCGTCACCCTCGACGATACTACCGCCGACGAAATTAAAATTTCTGAGAAACCTCTGAAGAACCTTCAACCGCGAACTCGAGTCTTACCAATGGCATGGACAACCTGAAAGCGAAGCAACATGGAACTCGCTAAAAAATCAAACATGTAATCCATTCGAAGTAATTCCTACAAGACCTCCACCAAGAAAGTTCTCCGCGACAGCGAGACATCCAGGGGAGAATGTAGCGATCAGCGAATCAATTCGCGTAGATGCCACACGTCGACAAGAATCCAGCATGACGAAAATGAATTGTCATCATTGAATTATCACATACCGTAGTTCTTTTGTTAAGTGGGAACTTACGAGACATGCTGAATAGATGAAGTTGAGTAAAACCTCCATAATTTCATTTCATAGCAACGAAATAGATTATTTACAAAGAGTATAAGTAAAAAAGGAAAATAATGGGCTTGTTTCAATTCAACGAGCATATATAGGTCATAAAGTTTAAAAGTAAATTCCTTTCAAGAGTTTATTCATTTTCGGAGTCTTGAGATAGCATGTGGAATAGATGACGTAGAAATAACACAATATTCGTGTTGGAATCTTTTCTCACTTTCCAATTTGACCCATGGACCCCATCCGGATATGATCCGGATAGTGGCTGCTGCTCATGTATGAGTGTGAACTGGCATTACTGTACGGAAGTCGGTCAACAGGGGGTGTTACAGTCAAATGGCCCGTGCTCCCAGTAGCCTTAGGGGCCGTCCTCGGGCCTCGCCCATTGGTTTCGCTGGGCCGGATACCGGCAGTACACCTTGGCCTTGGTATTTAGATGAGTCCCTGAACAAATGGCACTCATACTTGGGCAGTGGTCAATCAATATAAGGTAAGATTCAGCCTTGTTTTCGCTCAATTCAATCATCTTGTACGTTTTCTAGGTCGTTCTCAACATCAACGTCAGGTCGCAGTTTGGTCAGCTCCATGGCCCCACTTTGCTGTACAGTGTCCAAGACTGCGGCGCATTCCGCATCAAGTTCAAAATCGTTGCCGTCGTCCGTCCGCATCTACAGGCCCGTCGATGATCTTGCACTTGCGAAAACCACTAATGATGTGTGCGCTGTGGTAGGTTTTCCCACGCTGTATTGACCCACTCAACCAAGTCGAAGCGGTTGGGTGGGGACAGCTTGAAGGGTCCAGAAGTATGGCTTTGAAGTTCGGTGCGCAAGTATTCAATTCATCGATGACGAAGTGCTGACTTGAGCGGTCTTATCCAGGCAACATCTGCAGGTTGGCATATCCATGTAAACTTCGGTGGGATCTTCTCCAGAATGACGTTGAGCTCGTTGGCCAAGGTCAATACTTCTTCAGTAAAGTGAGCACTAACGTCGTCCTATAGGAGAAGCACGGGCTTGCAACTAACTCCACGTCGATTGCCGAAATGGTACGTCAAGAATTGCAAGGAAATAGGTCCATTCCACCAAGCTGCAGGGTTGCCGTATATGCGCGACGGGTGGCGTTCATGGAGCTCTTCAATGTCCTCCCAGACATGGACACCAAAGCCGTTGCGGTTCTTAAGGTTGTCTTGAACTGCAGCCTTGACTTTGGAGGCAGCCGTCTTCAGCACCAAGAACAGTGGGTACTTTACTCCATTCAAATCGCCGTTAGGTGATCTTTTTCATGGCCTGAGCCCTTGAACCACACAGTCTTCGTTCCCGTGGCATCAATCGTCTTCTTCGGTATATACTCGTAGCTCACACCGGTTTAATCAGCGTTGTAGATGAGCTCAATGCCATTGGTGTCAACAATGCGCCGGATTTTGTCCGCCAACTGAGTCAGCATTGCTTCGCCCTCTTCGGCGCTGGACTGGCCGGCGCTGGTTTTCGATCGCATGGATAGGCTCCACCGGTTCAAGAACGATTTCACCCAAGTCGAACCAGCACGAAATTGACTCTCGGTAAGACCCAAGTCGTTTGCAACCTCACGAGCACTTGTCTGTAGAAGCATATTGCTGACTGGGATCCCTTCGCTCCTCAGCTCGTTGACCCACGCCACAAGTCCTTCTTCGGCGGCAGTGTCCAGTGTTGTCGATGTTCGAAGAGGTCGGATGGATTTCATGAATTGTAGGTTTGGTTTGTTTGCAGCAGCTTCAATCGACGACCGATATTTTTCCCAACGATAGATTCGCTTCCATGCAGTCTTACGCGGTGCACCCGAGATTCCAGGAAAGTAGGTGTCCAATGAGTAGTTAATTGAGTTGTCTTTCGCAGCGTTCATAATACAGAGCTTGCGTGACATGGTGAGCGTGGCTGTTTCGTACAATAGTGTCGTTCGAGCTGTGTTCTTGATAGATGGGCGTCCTGTTGCTTTGCGATGACCGCTGCGCGCCATGGTTTGAAATCCCGCGCAAAGCACCTCAAAATATTCTTTCAAACTCGATATTAATTTAATTTTAAGGTTGTTTCGCCTTGCTGAGGTTCTTGTGAAATTGCATATGTGAAAAATACATATTATAGAGGTTTCAAAATTCCCACTTAACAAAAGAACTACGGTATATATCAAGTACAAAAGCGACCGACTACAAGGATGTGGCTCCTTCAAGGATCGTAAAGACAAGACGGATGTGGAATTTCTAGGAGCTTAGAACTCCATCATAATCTCATTCCACAATTTACTTCGCTTCGCGAAGACCTTCACAAACCCGCTTTCTCCAGCGCCGAGTAGTTGCTACAATTGTTTCACGCGGCGCGTGCGGCGGACATTGTCGGGCGATGCCGATGTGGACAGGTGAGACTATTTCTGAGGCGAGGGGCAACTATGGAAAACCTTGGCAAACGTGCACAATTAATGCAGCAAGTAAATTTGAATGGGGGTGGTCGCACGTTGGTCCAAGAACGGTATCGCGGGCACGTTCGCAGCGTACATGGACGGAACTCCGTAGCCCCCCAAGACAATCACTTTGAGGTTGAGCAATGACAGCTGGATTTTCAGGAAATTTCGATGTTGTCAATGCTTTTGCTTACAAACATGAGTGACTTCGAAGCTGTATAATACAGCGGCTCAGGTCCATCAACGAGTTGATGTGAATATCTACAACACATGATGTCATCAGTCGTCCAGCGTGGCAAACATCGATGCACATAACATTGGGTCATGGTTACACCGCCTTCGACGCTCGATAAATCGTGATGCAAAGTGTATTGATGGACATATGCGGATCACGCACCGGTGGCGGCAGCTCCGGCCACAATTGTGCCAAGGTACGCGACGTACCATTCGATCGAGTTGAGTCCAGATATGGCAACGTCGTGAGGCTGGATGTCGTCATGAATTGAACTCTTCATGAACTCTTGGACGCGGACATAGTATTGGCGCCAAGATAGCGACTGCCAATTGTCCCGACATTGGGCGGGGACGGTTTTCTGGTAGCAATAACGCTGGGTGGCGCGCTGAAATGCGTGGATTCGAGTAGTGGCTTCTGTGAGCGAGGTACTAGTTGCCCGTGGCAGGCGTGAGGTTTTCATCAGCCTCACTTGGACGGCCTGGTAGACTTTGCTCGTCGACAGTGCGATGCCGACAACTCTCAGTACCTTTGACGACAGCACTTTGCGGGGCTTATGATAAACTGCAATGACTTCGGCACACTGCTGGTCGTACGCAGCACATGCAGCACATCGTGCGTCATAAAATTCAATGGATCTTCCACGAGTTGGTGCTGGAGGGCCCAAGATGGGCACTCGAAGCCATTCGCTGCTCCAATGCATGTTGGCGTTTTACTCGGGGACTCATGTCTCGAGTTCAGTGGATCTATCCGCAACGTAGAGGGACATGAGATTCGGCGGTTCATGATTATAGAAGTTTTCTCGTTCGTCGAACACTAATGATATATCTTGTTGGAAGGCTGGCCGGCCCTCTCCTCCAATTTCACAAGCTGTGTTTCAAATGGTAAATCGAATTTAATGATGCTGTGCCTTTAGAGAAGAATAAAAGAGTGTGTTCTGCCTACAAAGTGGAATTATCTTCTAATGTAACGGAGAGAATCCGAAATCGCTCTAATTTAATGGAAGGGTATTTCTCAAGATCGTCCAATGAGTGGAAATGTTTCTCACGTTGTCCAAGTTGAATGTACGTGAGGTATTTTTATTCCAAATCGTCCATCACGGCATGATTGACTAAAAACCTCATGAGTTGGAGGATGTGGCATGCCTGGCATGTTGGGCCAGGTGTACAGGTCGAGTTTGAGAAAAATCTCAGGCAAGTTCTCCTTCACCATGGCCAGGTAGTCCTCAGACTTCATTTTGCCCTCGCAAAACACAAGGTTTCCCGTCCCGTTGTAACCGATGGACCCCCACACCATCAGTGACTGTCGACCGCTCTTGAAGGTCGGGGCGAGGCACCCATCCATGAACTCTTCCCCGGGTCTTCTCCACACAAACACACGTCCATTCGACCCCGTCAGGTTGAAGGGACTTTCATCCGTCCAGATAACCTTGGACCAGTCGTCCATCCCACGGAGTTGGTACTTTTTCGCGTACATGAGGCGCTTCTTCTTATTGGCCTTGGAGATGAAAGGCTTGCGGCGTGCTGCACGGCCATGCATGCCTGTCGCACGAATGCGCCGGCGAATGGTGTCGCGCGAAATGTCTTTGTCGTGAAACACAGCAAAGGTTTCTTGCAAAGTCTCAGCGCTGAGGCGGCGGTTGGCCTTGATAGCGCGGACGATGATGCGGTCCTCGTGCTCGGTGGTGACAAGGGGTCGTCCAGAACGTGCAAGGTTGGCCGTGAGGTTGGTACGTTTGTACTTTTGAACGATGCTTTGGACGGTTGACTTAGGTATGTTCAAGGTCGATCCGATCTTGGCGTATCCGACGCCATCCAGGTGCTTTGCGATCACCAGGGATCGCATGTCATGCGAGAGCTCTTTACGAGCACGAGTTTCGTCGTTGGCCATGCCGGTGAAGCTCAATAGAGGTAGTAAAGTTGAGTGGGCGATGCGTTGGAAGTTGACAAATGAAATGAGTGTTGAATTACAGGATTTGGTGAAGATTTGATTGATCTGCGTCAAATTTGTTGCTTGGGTACGAACATTTTTGCAACCCAATATTCGAGACGCATGTCTTGCATCCAAATTTCTCTATACGTACGACATGTGCTCTTAACCAATTAGACTCGAGGAGAATGACCAGTATCAGCGCAACACCTGGGTAACTCTAGCATCTCAAAAAGTTGAGTACTGCAAAAGTTGTAGATCGTCAAAAAAATTAGTGGCTTGGGTACGAAGACTTTTGCCACCCACTGAACATCGAAAATCGCTAAGTCATACCGCACGGCGGGTACGGTCGGTTATTGCAGGGGGCCGCTGAAATTCTGGAAGAAGATGACTAAAACCCACCCGGGACTGACTTCCAACGATTTTGAGCTCGTTAGACTTTTAGCCAATCATGCCGTGATGGACGATTTGGAATAATAATACCTCATGAACTTTCAACTTGGACGATCTTGATAAATACCCTTAATGGAATAGGTCCGTTAATAGTGTAAGAACAATCACCCCTCGTGGGACAATGTGGAAGATGGTTAGTCATGAGCTATAACGCTTGTGGGAATAGAATTTCAAAACAAATTTCAATACATATATTCACAAAAACTCACTGCAATCACAGTTTGAATGTATCCACAGATCTCGTTAATGATTGGCCATACAATAAATTGACGCTGGCGCTAACGTCATGACATTGTAAGTAATAGCTGCAAAAGAGTGTGGACTAAATACCGTCAGTTCTAACAAATTGGCAATACGAAAGGTTCAGATACGCTGCTCAAGAACAAAGGGCGGTCATAAATTTCGAAATTTCGTTTTCACTTGATCGCTTTGTCATGTCGCTCATCCGAAGAATACAACCGCGTACCTACAGCGCAGGTGAAGCAACACCAACTTGAGAACCTGTTGGATTTAGTTTACGTCCTTTTTGGTAGGCCGCCAGACAAACATTATGAATTACCATAAGCGGTTGCAATGGAATGGACACGGGACACTTCGCGTTCTGCTGTAGCTACGACTATTGTGAACTGTCGGCGACGAACAAGAATTCTTGACACTGACTACACCACTGCCCGTTCAATGTGGCCAAACCAGCAATCAATGTGGTCCCGACGTCATAATTTCTTCGAAACTCGAAGTGCATCTGGAATCGTTTTCATGAATGTGGTTTAATCAGCAATCCTGCAATCAATGTGGCCAACCTTTAAATTGAAATTCGATCTAAATTGTTTTGACAGGTTGCTCTCCACAGGGCATGTTCTCCAGTCGACTGGCTGCGTGGACGGACACAAGACAGTGTAAAGATGTCATTGTCGTCAAGACGGCTGTCATGCAAGACAATAATTCCACAGCAGCACGTTCCATGAGGTCCATTCGCTCGTGCGGCCGTCAACGTAGAGTGTACACCAGCGGTAAGCATCTCTGGATGTCTTGAGGTGAGAAAGTTCTTGATCTTAGCTTTCAGCACGCTGAAGCAACCCTATATAGGATTGCACATCGTCGAGTACGTAGCAAGAATCAGTCGTCGTACCCAGGCATCGGGCCTCGGTTTGGCTGTGGGTGGGCGCATTGTCAAGGGCAATGACCACGACTTTGCTGCAGAATTCGGCTTGGAACGATGGCAGCGACTGACGGTAAGATAGATTTCTTCTGCTAATTCTGCGTTCAGTTCCGTTCGAATGCTTCCCCGTTTCATGCAGTGTAGGGAGAGGCCGTCGTTTGTCGACACGGCGCACTGCAACTGAAGATTCGCTCCCTTTGACGGTGGAAGCACGTTGGCCCACCTTACTGCAACATTGTGCTTACTTGCTGAACAGATTGTAGTTCGTTTCATCATACTACACGATATAGTCGTCACGCGCCATATGCATGATGCATGAGCAACGTGTCAGCGAACGCTTTTCGCTTGATTGTATTGAAGTTGTTGTTGCACGTCGAGGATTCGACACGGACTTGTTACTGTGTACAGCTTCCCATAGAGAGTTCGACTAATTGCTGAGGTTTAGATGTTGATAGCAAGTTCTACATATGTCTGTACTTCCAGACGTATGATATCTCTGCGATCATCTTGTTCAACGATGCGCGCGCTCCACCCCGGCTGAGTCGACTGGCACGGTTGCTATGAATCATACGTTAAAGCGTCGTCAAGGTGACTCCATTGTGAGAGGCCACTGCTTTCCAATCTTTTCGGTCATGGAATGCTGCCAAGACACAAAACTTCTCGGCTTTTGTTGGCATCTTTTGGTTATGTGTGGGCAATTGTGTCGCGTGAGTTTAGCGCACCCCCCAATAGCAAACCTTTGTCAATGCATGTTTCGATCGAATTACAATTTGCAAGTTGGCCACATAGATTACAGTCGAGTCACTTTGAATGAAAATGATTCCAGATTTACTGTACTTCGAGGTTCGAAGAAATGGTAACTTCGGAAGCAAATTGATTGCTGGTTTGACCACTTTGAACGGGTAGTGTTGTCCTTAAGTACTGATCTCCCCCCAACTTGGACACGGGGTAAACTAAATACACTCTATGAATTAATATTATATATTCCTCCAGGAATATTTGAATTTCTCAAACAGCAATGTACTTTTGATCTTCATCACTTCAAAATGAAACAGCGGATGACACTGACCGACAAGAGCGACTTGTTTGCGCAGCACATGCAAAGCCCACAAGCGACATACAATGAATCGGCAAAGTGGGTAGCACAAACGTTCGCACTCGCGACATCTCCAACAAAATCTGCCATTGGAAAGGCCCTTAAACGCGGTGCAACACAAACACAACGCGTCGACAACAAGGCGCGGTACATTGATCGTGCAGTAATTCTCCGGAGCTCGAAACCGAACTTCTCCAATGGGTCCTACGCTGTGAGGAACTTGGCGTATGTCTAACAGGAGAGCTCATATGAGACGAAGCAACCTCAATCGCCGCCCGCCTCAATCTGCCCCCAACGCAGTGTTCGTCCTACTCGAAGGGATGGCTGTACAAGTTTCAGCGCAAACATGGCCTGACAAGCAAAATACAGCATGGAGAAGCTGCATCAATCCCACGAGGTGCCGTGCAACATGGCCGCGAAGAAGTACGGCACACTACGAGTGGCTACAGCCCTGCGAACGTGTACAATATGGATGAGACTGCGTACCTTTACTGTCTGTCGCCACACCGTTCCATAACGCGCAACCGTGTGCCTGGAACGAAAAAGTCAAAAAAGAGGGTAACCGTTGCTCTTACCACGAATGCCGACGGTTCCGATGTTGTTGACCCCTTGTTCATCGGGACAGCCATGCAGCCAAGGTGCTTCAATGGTCGAACTGCCCAAGACTTCGGTTTTCACTACCGGTCGAGTAAAAAGGCATGGATGACGTCGGAGGTCTTTAGCACGTACCTGAAATCCATAAACGATCGAATGGTTTCGGAAGGGCGCAAGATCCTGCTGCTTTGGACAACGCTCCCAGCCATGATCGTGAAGCTGGTGAAGGTTTATCAAATGTTTCGTTACGGATGCTTCCAAAGAATACAACGGTGTACCTGCAGCCTCAGGATGTGGCCATTATTGCCTCGTTCAAGGCGAAAGTCAAGGAGCGGCAACTGAAGAACGCCTTGGACCAGATTGACTCGGTGACGGCAGGGCGCCAGGACAGGCTCTACGAAGTACCGTTAGTTGTAGCTATGGAGTGGGCGCGGGATGCATGACACTCTGTGTCGTCGTCGACAGTTGCGAACTGTTGGCAACGTACCGGAATTCTGGACTGTGACTTGTCAGCGTTCAGCGATCGAATGGCTGCAATTCATATGAATTGATGTGGCAAGAAGAGATACTGTTAAAACGAATAACCTTTTGAGTTGATGTACTGTGAATTATTTTTATCGTTTGCCGTGTCCTAGCATGGGGAAGATCAGTGTGCACCTACAACAAGCGTCATGCGAATCCGTCTGGAGTGGGTACCTCCGACATCCCAATCATTGGCGGCTACTTGCTGGTAGATGTCCACAATGCGCCATTGATGTCGGCGTTATAGGGCGGGTGCTTATTCTTTAACAAGTGCCACGCCGATCGCCGCGCTCCCAACGACAAGCACATGAACTGGGTGTTTTGGGGCGAAGAGTACCTTCGCAGCATGCAATTGTGGACTCGTGGCTACGACTTGTACTCGCCTTCCAAGTACGGCCACGTCGTGTTTCACAACTGGTCGGACGACAAGGGGATGAAGAAGCAGTTCTGGGACAATGTGACGCAAGTGATGACCCAGGAACAGCACGACATGGAAGCTTGCGTACAATCAATTTCGGATGGTGCTGACACTGCCGTTCAAAGGTCCGGTCGACGCCGAAGAGATCGACAAGTACCACGGAGGCAAGGTTCGGTCGGTGCAGCAGTTTCTCAAGTTTTCTGGCATTTCCAACACAAATCCAGCCTTGGACGAATTTCGATGCGAACAATTACACTGGGTCCCGTACGCCGTTCCTGAAATCATCGAAGCGTTTCTGCCGGATTACACGATGCGACCAATTCCTGTGCCGAACGAAACCAACCGAACGACAGGTGTCGATGGAACGTTGGGCCACCAAGAGGATATCGTGGTTCAGCGCCTACATCAGCTCGAGGCGCTGAAAGTACCGTCCACAGACCAATTACAGCACCTTCGCGAAATACGCCATGAGATCGCTTCGCTCAACCAACCGCACGAAGATCTGTGGCCGCTTGCGTTTGTCTGGCTTGGCGTGATTTCGGTGTGGCTCGTGTACAAGAATAGGCGAAATGCAGATGTTGCGGGAGGATCCACAACTCCTTAAGACTAGAATTCATGGGTGGAACGTAATGTACAGCTATTCCTGTGTATTCGAGCGTGATGAGATTGGTTCGAAAGGTCGACATGTACCTGAAGAGCCACGAGACGCTCAACAGGGAGATATTCCTGCTCCTCAAACATTCCAGCAACCTCGGACGAAATGTTTGAGGGCAGGCATATCTTTTCCCTGTTGAGCGTCTAACGTCCATGGCTACAAGTAGACTCGACAAGCCATCGACTGTCAGAAATCTGTCTTCACATTCCCATGATTGCCATGGACCCTATCAATTTCGCCATCATTTGAGGAAAGAAGTACATTAGCCCGAGAGATGTCCTCTGGTTGAATGCACAGCGTATGGGCATACATTTCAATTCGATTTAAATAGGATCTTCGAGCGTGATCAACCGTTGGAATATAGCTTCAATGGATTTCCGCATGTTGCGAGACCTCTTTCGACACCCTTTAGTACTGTATTGCCCCCGCAAATAACATTATACCTTGAAGAATGTTTTTACTTGCTTTTGTGGAATTGGAATACAAGTAAAAATCCAGTTCGATCACCACATACATGTAGTAATCCAGAAAATACTGTGGCCATGTGGACCCTCCAATCTTCAAGAACAAACCCTAGTTTGAGTAGGAAGCACCAGTAATTACACAAACAACTACTCCCTCTGTCGCTCAAAAGTGAAGCGACTTTGGGTAAGGTAGAGATGACTCATCATTTAGTTTCATCACAAAGTTCAAGAGAGACGCCTCGGACGTAGTCCGTCGCGTCGCTGTCACTGATTGGACATCAAGCCGGCTTTACCGCGATACGCAAATTGTTGAGTACCTCGTACAGGATCCTCCGTGGTGTACTGGTCCCCAGTTTTGGAATATTTTTTTTTGTTGCGCCGTACAAGTTGTACTCCCTCCGTTCCACAAAAATGTGCCGAGTTTCGGGAGGGCAGACAAGTGTCATCATAATAATTGTAAGACAAATCGAAACTCGCTTATCAGCTACTGTGGAGTGGCTTACACGAAGCCCATTGCTCATATGAAAGAGCGCGCCAAAAGCTTTGTCCTTGAGTGCTTTGAGTGGGAATTTTTTGTCTGAAAATCACGAATTCTTGACCTCAAAGGTATAGATACATTAATTGGGATAAAAAGGACCGTACGCCATGTTCCTGATTCAGTACATTTTTGTGAAACGGAGGGAGTACAATCTACCAGATTGATAATATTTCAATGTTGGCCAAGCGCAAACTATATTGCCACGTCCAGGTGCATATATGATGATACAACTTCATTTCTTTTGTTGTAACGTCGGTTCTCACTGATCGGCCGAACTCTCAGTGATCAGCCGAGCGAGCTGTATCACCCAATTGAATCGCAAGAATCTTGTGATTGGATAAAATTCGTTACTCCAACAACTAACCCCTCATAATTTTATGGTGGGAATAAATAGGAAAAAGAGAGCAACAAGTGTGTCAGCCTTGAAAAATGCAGCCAAGAACCCTGGACACACCCGACGAGAATGCATCCGCAGTGAGCGACGTGATCAAGAAGCAACCCACCATTCCATCCGCTGCCATAGCATATGGCATCCCTCAACGAACTGTACGCACACACGTGACAAGACCCAAATCCGGTTCTACAACGACCAAAGCAATAGACAGATTTCGGAGAGCCATCCGTGAATTTGCCATCCATCAAAATTTTGAGGGATTGCAAAGTCACGGCACAAGAATTGTACGTTTCGAGAAAAGTCACCCGTGGATTTACCGTATCCGGTTGGAATGCAATTTACATGCACAGCATGACACTCTTCGAAATGCTCACCATCGAGGAACTTGGCGCATTGATACGACGGTGTCGCTACGTGTCGTATAAACTACGTCTACGTCTTCTCCGCCTTCTTGACAATGCTGTTGAACGACAACTTGTGCCCGACACGCGTTTGGATCTCAACCAAATGTCTGACGCGGACTGCTTCATAAATTCCGTTTGACAAGGCGGGGATCATCGAGCATTCTGATCTGCTCCGCCTCCCGAGCGAAGTGGTGGCTGAAGCGAACGACCGCTGCACTGGTGTGGATAGTTTGTGTGTTGTGCTGAGTCGTCTATCCTACCCGCGTAGTTGGCTTTCAGCATTCGAGTGGAGTGACATTTGATACTCTTGGTCTATACACTGTGAAAATCAAACCAAGGTGTGTCTATTCCCACCAATTCCAGTGATGATGCCACCAACCCCTGCGGCAGCCGTCGTGGTCGCGACTCCACAGTTGCGGCGCGCAATCACCTGCTTTCACAGGCTGTGCTTCAAATTGGGACGATCTTGCTCGTCGAAATTAAACTTAGAAATACGATGTACATCGTCAAATTGAACGCAAAAAGTAAACGATAGTTCGACAGATGGCCGATTTTCGTGGCTATTCAAGCGAAATCAAAAATCCCTATTCAGAGAACGACTAATTTTCATAAAAAGATTTCAGCTATTCACAAATTCAGATAATTCAATACAGTGAACCCCGGAAAAAGCCGACATGCTTTCATCCTGAAATGCATGGAAGCGGAATAAAATCGAATTTATTAAATTACGCGGCTTAGTTC